GAATAGATGGTATACCAATTGAAGTATTTCAGCTAACAGATGCTGCCCTGGATGTGCTCACCAAGTTGTGCCAAGAAATCTGGAGAACAACCACTTGGCCCACTGACTGGAAGAGATCTATATTTGTTCTCATTCCAAAGAAGGGTGACCCAACTGAGTGTGGAAACTACAGAACAATATCATTGATTTCACATGCAAGCAAGACTGAAGATTATCCAAAAACGACTGGAACAGCACATCAGCAGAGAATTGCCAGAAGTCCAGGCTGGGTTTAGAAGGGGTCGTGGGCAGGGTTGCAAAAAAAAAAAAAATTCTAGTAATTAAGTCAATCTATCATTAGACCTTAGTTAATTTGGGTAAAGAATATGTATTCTGGAAAGGCATCTATTACATGTTACTGTAGAGCTTCTTCAGAGTCTCCTTACATTTCTTAAGAAATTTCTCTCTCTTTTTTTAAATCCTGTGCCAACTTAAATAGATTTTTGCGTAGATCTAGAGAACACTGAGCTCAAAGTACTGTATTGTCTGGGTAGGCTGAGAACATATACTATGGCCCAGGTGGCAACAAAGGGGGCTGGATGGAGCTGGCAGAATCAATCTCTGGGAATGAAAAACTGGGAAGCTCTAATTCTGTTCCGTTATTACCTGAGAAGTTATCTCACCAGGGAAAAAAAAACCAACAAAGAAGATAAACAAGATAGAGAGTGAAAGGAATGAGAAAAAGAGGAGAGAGGGAGAGGGAGGAGAAAGGAGTAGGGTAAGGAAAAAGGGAAGCATGGAAAAAAGAGAAACAAAACTCCCCTCAACCTGTCTTGTGAGCTGAGAAGTTTTTAAAGTTTTCCCAATTTAGAAACCCGAAGGAGGTAGAGCAGTCTATAGGCAGTTAGTAACCTCTAGATCACTACACACAAAGTACTTCCTGCCTGACTTTTCTTGTTTTAGTTTGTGACTGTTAACTGCAAAACTTGAGTACTCCTCTGACCTACTGGAGATGCCAAGTTGAAGACAACAGGTCCAAGGGGTAAGGAAAACAGTCTGAGACTAGGTTCTCTCTTCAGGCTTTTGAACAAGGAATTTTAGAGCACCTGGAGCCTCCTCATTGACGTTTAGGACTCTACCCTGGTGAAAAGGAATAATGTCAAGAGAGAGTACAGAAATAACAGAACACTGAAATCAAGCTAATTAATCCAACCAAACTGGTAGCTAGGCTGTGATCCCATACTTCACACCTGCGGTTCTACTAGAGGACTCGCGCCTGACTCAGTGAGAGAAAAGTGAAATACCAAATTTAAGGGCAAACTAGAACAGGAAATATAGTAGTCTTCCTGTTCTCTTTAGCCTATTCTTCACATTAATGTCACTCCACAGTCAAAAGGACTTGCTATCACCTCTTCAGGATGTATTTCAGGGAGAAGAAAGGAGATTTCCTGAGAGATTCCAATTCTCTCATTTCTGCTGCTCAAAATCGAACCTGCAGTTAACTGTCTGAAAAACTGAGCCTGGTAACAAGGGCACGAAGTGGCAAAAAAATTTTCCCATCAGATGAATGAGCAAACTATCTATTCAATTCCCTTCT